TTGATTTTCAAATTGGTAAAATTTTTATGTCAAGATTAGCCCTATCAAAGGTCTTAGTAGATTTGGAATAATCAGTAAGCTGAGTCTAAGGTACATTGGACCTTTTAAAATTATTGAAAGGATTGGTGGTTCTACTTATAGGTTGTTATTGCTTGGTTGTATGTCAGATATACACAATATATTTCATGTATCTTCTTTAAGAAATGGATATCAGATTATGAAAAAAGATTATCTACTGATGATGTTGCAATTCATCTAAAATTGCACTATAATCAAGAGCCAGATAGGTTTCTGGCATATGACGTCAGAAAATTGAGGAGTAAATAGATTCTGATGGTTAAGGTACAATGTAAGTGCAAAATTGCCAGAGAGGCTACTTAAAAGAAATAATCTGATTTGAGACAACTATATTTAGGTTTATTCTGATTTATTTTGGCCTATAAATGTTGAAAATGATTTTTTTTAAGGTGGGTGGATTGTTATAAGTCAAAATTTTAAAAAATATATTTTTTATTTAAAATAGTCAAAATTCCTTTATGGAGTCATTTTAAGTCCAAATTATAAACTGTTTTCTCTATAGCATTGGTATTATAGCGCCCTATTTAATTTTTTTTTTTAATTTTTTGGCATTATCAAAATTCACTTAAAAATTGGCATATGTCAGTAAAAGTGGGGATTTTGGGATATTTAGGTGCCTATTTTATAAATCAATTTTACCCGATCATTCTAGACATGATAAGCTAACTTTTGAATATTTTTTTCATAAATTTTGAATCTCCATATTTGAAGATATAAATTGATTTATATGAATTTGTAGGCTAGATTATGAATAATTGGAATAATTAAACATATACCCTTAATATATTTTATCTAAATATATAAACCCACTTATCTTCCCATAATTCATTTAACAGAGAATGATTTTGGGAAAATGAGAGAGAAGAGAGGAGAGAGAAGAAGAAAAGCTAGGGTTGGTGGGCATAGAGTCATTTTTGTCCATAAGCTCAGTTGAAAAATTTGCTCGTCTCGATGTAAGTTACGTTTTTTTTTATTGTAGCGCTCGTCTCGATGTAAGTTACATTTTTCCTATTATAGTTTTTAATAACTTTTTATTCTTAAAATGTTTTTGATAAAATTTGTATTTTCATTAACAGAAAAGGAGGATAACTTTATTTTTATAAAACTTTTATGGTATAATTTTTTATATATTATAGAGATTATGAACATTTTAAGTATATTCTAAAAATTTTTACTGGTTGTTTTTTATCCGTCAGCATAGTTAGAAATTTATTTCAATTCAAAAATTTATTTTAACATATAAAATTTTTGTTTTTGTTTAATTAAATCTTCAGAATGTTGTGATACATTATCTCTGATAATTTAGTTAATTTTTTAAAATTTGAATTTTTGCTCAGTAGTGTTTATATTGCCAATTGTCGAGGCATCTTTATAATTTTTGAAGTTGGTGTAATTATCAATTAATTAATAAAATGCATGAAAATTAAACATAAATGAGAAGTGATGTTATTTTAGGGATAGTTGGTGACCGAGGCAGGATTCTTTAATGGTGGTGCTAGTGGATTGATGAGATATAATTCTTTTATGCTGAAGACGATAAAATGTTGAGGTGGGATTTTGACATGACATGTGATGTTGTGTTGGAGCTAGTGGGCTATGAAGGTGGGATTCTAATATAAAATGTGATGTTATGTTGGATCCATTATGATATCAATGTGGGATTCTGATATGAGGTGTGTTATGCTGCTGAAGCCTAAAGGCTATTCTAAAAATTGTAATAAGATATTTATTTATATTTCAATTTCAGTACATCTCATTGATTAATTAAATGTATTCAATTTTAGTATATACTTTAATTCTTGCTTTCTTCATAATAATTCAGTTTATTATTATGTCATAATATTTTTAGTTCTTTTGATTTTAATTATTGATATCTATTTTAAGCTGCATAGTCTATTGAGCTGTGTTAGATCATTCCTACTTTTACTTTCATTTTTAGGCCAGGGAAGGCTTATGAGCAATTTTAGTAGTTTTAGATAGTAGGATTTGACCAATCAATGATGTAGGTATGTTTTTGTTAGTTTTAGTTTTTATAGGCTTGACTTTTATTTTATTTTGTTGTATGTACCAAGTGTTGTTGTAGATATCTCAGATTATACATGTATTTTAAATAGACAATCATTTTTATATTCATCAGTCTTCCACTTTATTTATATTTATAGTAGCTCTGTGATTTGTTTAAATTGAAAGTTTTTTTTAAGTACCTCCCCAACTGAATCTTAGGGTTTGAGTCTTACCACAATCTAACGTGGTATGACCTATGCAATTTTGGGTCATATCAGGTCTAGTTGTGACATAGGCTAATCTTCAACTTTTATTCAGGATACATGTGATGATTAACCCCTCCAAATCAAGGTACAATCAATCCCACATGGTTTGATTCATCTTCTTCCATTTAGGCAAATGTCATTGAGCAACACTTTAACAAATAATATCGAATATGTCAAACATTCAGGGATAGAGTTTATTTTCATCAAACAGTGCCATAAAAAAAACCTCGAATAAGTCACAAATTCTTGGTGGTTCCTCTCAACCCTTTTCATACAAGTTCACTTTTTTTAGCAACGCAGTAACAAAAAATTTCAAATTTATCAAATATCCTTGGTAGATTTCTCGCAGAATTTTCTACACAAATTTATGTTATTAAGCAGCCCAATGAAGCATTTTTCTTAACCATCAATTTATAATCTTTTTGTTGTTATCACTTGGCTACTCAAATACCTACTAGCTTCAACAACGACCATTACAAATAATGTAAACACAAGCATCATTTATAGTATTGATAAATGTTGTCAACTTCAACTCTGACCCTCGCCTTCAATACTTAGATTTTTACTAAATTCCCATAGAGAGCTCTCCCTTCTTCAATAATATAATTTATATTTTTTTCAATGCCTTCCCTTGGGGAAGAGTTTCAGTTGTAATCAAATATAAATACTAGTGGGATCATCCTAACTAGGTCAAGCCACATGGTTTTTCCCCTTTCTAGGTTTTTCACATAAAAATTTTGGTGTCACTTACAAAACTTCCACATATCTTTTTTTATAGAGGTTTGATTTTTTTTTTTAAATTTTGATATTAATTTAAATTAATCACAAAGCATTTGTATAGGAATTTGGAACATCAAAGAATGTCCATTTTTTACCAATTTAAACTTGTTCCATGTCAAATAAATTCTAAATATTAAGAAAACTTAAAATTTGTGAACTCATGTTTTCTTACTCACATTTGGCACTACACATTACCCCTCACTCTTGGATGTTATCGTCCATCATATTTTAAATTTGAAACTTATTATAGCAAATTAAAAAAAATAATTTAATGTGTTTAATTTATATTCCACTAAACAACTCATTTTTTAAATGTAGCATTCGAATTTATTTATCTTATTTAAACATACACATTTAGAAAAAAATAATTAAAAACCCATTATTTTTCCTTTGCTTTTCAAGCATCTCTCTTTTTTTAGTCCACTATTTTAGTTCCATAAAATAGAAACCCATAATCTTTTTTAATCAAATATCAAGAGCCTCATAATAAATATTTGGATGAAACTATACTTGTGATTAGACAAGGTGTTAATGCAACATAGTGGATATAAATTACATCAAACAAATTTCAAGGTGAAGGTTGAAAGAGCCCTATGTCATAGGAGATATCTTAAGGAGATAGTTTGTTTTTTATTTGTTCATTTTCTTTTGAGGAGGGGAGACTAAAGACCAAGAAGTCTTATATTAAAGTTGGTGTTAACATTAAGAGTTAGAGTTAATATTGGAATGCATCAATCTTATAGCTTATGGTGATGATTGAAGGTTCAAGTGTAGTCATACAATAATAGTAAGGAGACTGCAGTGACATAATAGTGGTTAGGAGATTATAATTAGGATATGTTAATTAGTAGACCATAGTCATGCAATAGAAATTAAAGGATCTTAGTTTGGTTATAATTGTCAAAGGACCATATTTTGACAATAATGGTCATTAGATCATAATCAACTAAGGTGGTTGAATGATCAGAATACGATGAAATGGTCAAAGAACCATAGTCAGGAAATGGTGGTCAGATGACCATAATCAAGTTATAGTTATTAGAGGACTATCTTTGGGTGAAGTTGGATGATGGATCAAAGTTTAGTGATAGTGGTTTGATGATTGTGGTCTATCATTGGTGGTCAAAGGATTAAAGTCAAGCAATGTTGGTTAGGAAGTCATAGTCATGTGATGGCTGTTGAGAGATGATGGATAGTTGATGGTGGTTGGTGGAATATTAGTCAGGTAATGGTGGTAAGAGGCCTAAAGTCAGGTGATGGTGGTTAAGAGATCATAATTAGCCGAAAGGGGCCAATAGTTAGGTGATAATTAATAAAGGATCACAATTATGCGATGGTGTTCAAAGGATTATAATTGAGCAATAATGACTATGCAATCATAGTCACGTGTTTGTGATCAAAGAAATATTGTTGGGCCATAATATTTAGAAGAACATAATTGAATGATGATGGTTCAAGGATCGTAATCAAGTGAGGTGGTTGAAGGACCATATTCAAGAAGGGTAGTTTGAGGTGTGTAATTAAGCAATATTGGTAAAAAAACTGCAAACCATGATAATGATTGAATGATCATATCGAGTAACTATGTTTGGATGTTCAAACTTAGGCAATAGTTCTTAGGAAATGATATATTTTTTTTTGAAGAATGCTAATATTGCATAGAAAGAAAAACCAAAGCAAAGACCTAGATACAAACTAGTGATAGTGGAGAGCTCTCACACAATCCTCCTTTAACAACTCACAAAAGGAAGAAGGTAGCTCACTCTCACAAAACAAATCCCACAAAAAGTCAGAAATAAGAGCATGATTAGCACAGAAATCAGCTAATCTATTACAACTACGGTTCACCCAATGAAAAATCACATTATTTACCTTATTAAGAAATGAAGATTCTTCAAGATCCAATCTCCTATCCACTTTCTTCGGTGTACTGTGCAAATTGTGAAGAAATTTTCTAACATTTTTATTATCTCCTTCAACTATAATCCCACCAATATCATCAAATCTATCACGTATAATTTCTGTAATAGCTGAAGCCGCGGACAACTCCAACTGGGCAATGTCCCAATGCATTTTCTTTATCCCAAAAGCAAGAATAAACCTTCCCTTGTAATCCCTTGCAATACCACCAAAACCTGCCTCATAATTGCCTTTCAGTGAAGCATCAAAGTTAATCTTGATCCAATCTGGGGGAGGAGGTTGCCATTCACAGGAAGACAATCCACGGGACTGATAGACAACCCAGTTCTTTGATCGGCCAAAATTCTATTTATCCAGGCAAATAAAGCTGAGAATTGAAGTAGCTAAGAACACCTCACTAACATCCGGGTCTCCATGTTTAAATTTATTTCTATGATTCCGCATAAACCAAATAACAGTAAAATACAATTTTACCATTAACAAGTTCCCATCTTTGAGCTCCTGAAGACTAGTCCAGCAGTCCTCCCAACTATTAAAAACTGGAACCTGGAATCCCCATCCTCTCAGCACATACAACACTTTCCTGAGTTTACAACCGTTGGCTGCAATATGATTGATATCCTCCACACTACCACATCCCAAAGGGCAATCAGAATCAACAACAATTTTCCTCCTTATTAAGAAAGCACCTGAAGGGAGAGCATCTGAAACCATCCTCCATATAAATATCTCCACTCTTTCATTTAAACCCAATTTATAAATCCAACTTAATGCCATCAAGTCATCCTGGTTTTTGAAGTTGTCTTGCATAATTAATGCAGATAAGGACTTACCAGACAACTTGTGTTTCAATTCCATACCATCCTCATGCATACCATTATCAATCTTAACTTCACAAATGAGATCAACAAGATCTATCCCAAAGAACCTACCCAGTTTTCCACGGTCCCAGCAGCCATCAGAAATAAAGCCGTCCAGAGAAGCATCCTCATCTTCAAAATAACCCACAAATGTTGGCCATTTGAGTAATGGCTTATCTAAAATCAAGGTATCCTTAAGCACTTTAATTTTACATCCATTTCCAATTCTCCTTCTAACATGATCCTTGAGTGCCTTCCAACCAGAAGACATAATCTTCCACGTAGAGGAGCTGCTCCTACTTAGCTCATAGCTCCACCAATCTACTCCATACTTCGCAATAAGATGTCTGCTCAATAAGGACTCAGGTTTGTCAATTAATTTCCAAGCAATCTTGGCTCTCATTGCATCCTTCCTATCCACAACAGAATGTACATCCCATCCACCAAATTGTTTAGGCTTACATAATTGCTCCCATGAAACATAATGAATGCCCCTATTACCATCAACTTTGTTCCAAATGAAGTCCCTACACATTTTCTCAAATTCCAACAGAATTTTCATTCGAATAAGGGAATGAGTCATGACAAACAAAGGAAGAGAAAGAGCAACTGATTTAATTAAAACCAGTCTACCGGCTAAGGAAATAAATTTGTTTCCCCAAGCATTAATCCTTTTACTGGACCTGTCCAATAACACCTGAAAGTCCTCCTTCCTTAGACGTCTTAATGCCAATTTGATGCCCAAATACTCAAATTCATTAACCAACTTAATACCCATAAATTTGGAAATCTTGATTCTCCTCCTCTCCACTGAGCAACTACAAACCAAAGAAGATTTGTGGTAATTGATGTTTTGACCAGTCCAATTGCGATAGTCCCTCATAGTCTCTCTAACCTTCTTCATGACCTTCAATTTAGCTTCAAGAAATAGTTAAATATCATCTGCAAAAAGGAGGTGAGAAATCTTCTGGGAATTAGAAGAGATCCTAATACCCACATCAGAGTTCCTGCTAATAAAGGCATTCGAAAGCAACTGGGAACAAATAATAAAGAGAAACGGTGATAGAGGGAATCCCTGACGAAAGCAACTCTTCCCCTCAATCCAGCTGGACCTCTCACCATTGATCATAATAGAATACCTTGGGGTAGTAACACATTCCAACACTAAATGAGCAAATCTTGAAGGGAAACCAATATCAAGCATCATTTTCTCCAAGGTAGACCAGCACATACTATCATATGCTTGCTCCATATCTACTTTAATAGCCAAGTAGCCATTGCAAGCCTTTGAAATTCTCATTTTGTTGAAGACCTCCTGTGCCAAAAAAAGATGATCAGAGATTGCCCTACCTCTCACAAAAGCCGCTTGCTCCTCAGAAATGATCCTGGGCATGATGCCCAACATTCTATTCAATAAAATTTTAGCAGCAATTTTGTAGATTGAATTGCAAAGGCTTATAGGTCGGTAAGCCGAAGGAGTACTGGGATTAGGAGATTTAGGAATGAGCACAATTAAGGTGTCTTTCCATTCTTTGTTCATCAAACCAGTGACAAAAAACTGCTTAACCGCATTCACCACATCCATTCGAATTGTATTCCAAAAGACTTTGAAAAAGGAATGGGTAATTCCATCAAAGCCCGACGATTTATTACTGCCCAAATTGACTATAATTTCTTTAATCTCAGCCTCTTCCATGTCTTTAATCAACAGTTCACTATCACAGTCATCCAGCACTTTCCTCAGTTCAAGCCAACCCGAAAAATTGCAGTTCCTGTACTTCCATTTCCCTTGAAAAAACCTCCTGAAAACCTCCTCAATCTCCTTCGTATCTTCAGTTAGTATCCCATTAGAGTATTTAACTTGGGAAATTCGATTAGCATTCCTTCTAGAGTTGGCAAAGGACTGAAAAAATTTGGTGTTTACATCACCCTCATTTATCCACTTAGCTTTTGCCCTTTGTTTCCACCAAGTGTTAAGATTATTAAGAACCAAATTAAGTTCTTTAACCTTAGCTTTGAGTAACCAAAGCTTTTCCTCAGTCAACCAACTGAATTCAGATTCTTCTTCTTGCAATTTCACAATCTTAGCTTTTAGTATATCTTTCTCCAAGAAGAATTCTTTCAATATGTTCTTGCTCCAATAAAATAAATCCTTTAAGGTTCTTTTGCATTTTTTGTTGAGAATCTCCATGTAATCTCCCAAGAAAGTCTTCCTCCACCTATTAGCAACAATATGCTCAGCTTCTTTGAAAGAAAGCCAAGTGTCTTCAAACTTGAACCCACTTCTACCCTTACAATCCGTCTCAAACACCTTCAGAGCAATCAGACAATGATCCGATGCAACTCTAGCAAGGTGCCTAACTAAAGTTATTTGTATTTTGTTGATTGCCAAGGAATTAAGAAGACACCTATCAAGCCTTTCCAGAATTCTATCTCCTCCCTTCTTGTTGTTTCACCAAGTGAATCTCGGTCCAAGAAACCCAACTTCATGATAATCATTCTCATTCATAAACTTCACCATCTCCAGAGAACCTTGATTGAATTTGAATCTCCTACCTCCCTTCTTATCTTCTTTAGACAAAATACAGTTGAAATCCCCTCCAATAATAGAAGGAATATTACTTTGAGCAGCCCCCTGTACAAGATCCCATAGACACCTCCTTCTCACGGACTCTTTGCTAGCATAAACAGTAGTGATAATCCAAACTCCTCTATTGAAGACATTGAGTTCACCCATAACACATTGGTCAGAAGTTTTCACAACAGAAAAAGACGCCAAATTTGACCTCCACATCACCATAATACCACCAGAGAGCCCAGCAGATGGAAGCAGAAAAAAGTCCAAGCCCTGTCCCATCATCCTTATAAACAATTCTTTATCCATAGAAGAAATTTTAGTTTCTATCAAACCAACAAAGAAGACTTTGTGATCCTTGATAATCTCTTTTAAATAAAGACAGGCCTCCCTCTTTTGCGCCCCCCTATAGTTCCAAAAAATAATAGAATTCATTAAGCACCTATGGGGGAAGAGCCCCTGCCTCTTTTCTTCAAACCCCCTTCCACATTTCTTTCTCTAGAGCTTCTCTTGATGGGGCCCAAAGCTCTAAGTTCTTTAGCAAGCTTAAACTTCCCCATATCCCCACTAGACATTATTTCCTTCTCACTACTCACTTCACATTTGCTGTCTTTACAGTCATTATCATCTCCCATGCCACCATGACTACCAACAATTAGATGAGGCTTGTCACTACTAACAAAACCACCCCCACCAGTTATGACTTTAAGGCTATCATTTCCTAACCCCTCATCCTCCATCTCATTCAACACATCAAATTTATTCTCATTGACAGGAAAAATAGGATTAGTACTATAAATCATACCGGTTATTTACTGAAGAAACATTGAGAGAATCCAAAGCCTCCAAAGCAGAACCATCCAATCGGCCGGATTCTTTCCTGAAATAGCCTCAGCTTGAACATCTACAATAGGTATCTCTCCTTCTTCAAGTTGATCAAACACAACAACTTTAGCCATATCATCAGCAGAATCATCACCTTGAATACCATTTCCAGCCACAACCTCCTGAATGCCATTCTATCTCAACCACTGTTTCTTTACTGATCTCGTTTTATCCTTCATAGCAAATGGTCTTCTATTCATTTTCTTCTTAACCACGACCCAAGGGCCGTATGATTGATCAGTAACCACTTCTTGAACTGTTTCCTCCACGTTGACTTCTCTAGATTCACTCTCATACAGCTTCTTATCAAATTTCCTGTCAGCCTTCAAGTTACAGTCATTCATAAGATGACCGAGCCTTCCCGATATCTTCTCATACTCGAATTTTTGAAAAAACTTTCCAGAAATGCTATTAACCCAAACACCAAGGGGAAGACACTGATCTAGTTTGACTCTCACACAAACTCTAGCAAATTCTCTTTTCCCCCATTGGAACATATTACCATCCATTATCAACGGTTTCCCAATGGCTGAAGCAATACGAGCCACATTCACTTCATCCAAACACTATAAGGGCAGGTGAGGCATTCTGATCCAGATTGGAGAGGTTAACCCTTTCAATGAAAGAGTGGAAATTCCACAAACCATTTCTCAATCCCCACTATAAAGCCATTGACAAACCACGGCCCTCCCGATAACACTCCTTCCATAATCTCATTTGACTCAAAAGAGCAAAGAAACCAACCTTTCCCCAAAGTTGTAAAGTGAAAATTACCAAACAATTTCCACTGTCTCCATATCTCCCAAGCAACAACATGAGGGGGGATTTCCTTCCCAAACACCTTAATCACCAAGGAATTCCTTAGCTTGTGAGAATTAGAAACCTCTCTTTCCTCCACCATTTTCACATATTTGCCATCTTCCGAGAAGACCATGCCCTCCTCTTGAAAGTCCAATATAATATATGGCTTCCTCTTCTACAGATTCACATCCATCCAATCCAATTTCTTCATAGACCTTTCATCAACCATCTTATCCGTCTCCCTGTCAAATTTCGGAGCAGAGCTCGAACAGAGTTTAACATCTTTGTTACCATGATCACAAGCATTCGCATTGTCGAACCTCTCATTACAAATGTTTATTTCTGTCGAAGATGCCACAGGATCAGCAGGATACTGATCACAAGCCTTATTGCCTGTAACAAGAGAACCCACTCCATCTTCTACAGCAATCGCCTTGCCCTTACCATTAACGAACGAAACCTTCTTGATCGATTCCATACAATTTTCTTTAATCACCAACGGTCCTGATGTCCTACCGAAAGCACCACCCACAGGTTTCTTCCGCAAAATTCCTCCCAGATCTTGATCACCTGAAACCCCAACATCACCCTTTCCCTTCGTCAAATCCGCAAAAGAATGATGACCATCAATCTCCATTGCCATAGCTGAACCTCTTCCCTTGACAATTCCTGTAATTCCAACCGCCGATGAAGGCCAGTGGCCTTCCATAGACCTTCCAGGAGCCAATTTCGCGAAGAACGGAAGAAGCCCGGGAAAGAATTTAAAAAAAAAAAAAACACTTTCTCTCACTCTTAGGAAATGATATATGGGAAATGGTGGTCAGAGGATTAAAGTTGAGCAATAGTGTTAGGTTAGCCATTGTCGAACAGTGATGGTCGAGATATCAAAGTCGAGCAATGATGGTTAATCAATGATGGCACGATAATGATGCTTAAAGGAAAATAAACAATGATGATGCATAGAGGAATGAAGTCAACTAACAATAATCTTAGACACTATAATCAAACAATGGGGGTCAAAGTGTCATTGTTAGGCAACAATACTTAAAGGTATCACACCCTGCTCAGAATGTGATGCACTATTGTAACCTGAAATGTTATGAAGGGATATGAAATTGATTTTATTAAAACAAATGAAATTTGATAATAAGTAATAAAAACAATAAGAATAACTAGAGAAAATAATGAATATTTTTATTAATAAAGTCCAACAATAGTGCACTAGTAAGTGAAATAAAAAGTAAATGGAAAAAAAAATTGAAAGAAATAATCCCAGAAACGAAGCTACCCCAACATAGAGGAAATATAAACAAAACCACTACGTAATCTTGATAATATGAAATGATTTATCAAAACATAAAGATTTATTTCTATGATAGTGGTCAACTGAGCACTCTGGTAGAACCTATTATGAGAAAAGTTTTTAATGAATTATTTTTATAACCCAAACCCAAAAGTATCTTCTATTTATTAAATGATAAATGGTACGGATCTAGGCCATACAACATGAATAATAAATTGGATATGATATAGTTTATGATAATAATGTTATATGTGCCATGAAATCAGCAAGTTAAAGTAGTAATATGCTATATAATGGAAAGTCTCGCCTATTCTAAGAGAGTTTTAGTATGATGATGTTCATAACAAGTGTGTTACATGCTGCAATCAATAAATTTTATTCTACTATATTCAAATGTAACCTTAGTAGATACCGTTATACCTCTAGTAATATAATTCATAAGACACTCATCATTTTCAATTTAGTTTTGTTTAAATATCTATAGTTTATTTTGTCAAGGTTCCTTTATGCCATGAAGGTAAACAATAACCTAAGGAAATCCAATAATTTCTTTGTAGGTCCATTAGCCCAGCTAGCTAATATCCAAAAAGTTATACCAACCTACATTCACTATACAGAAGCCTAAAGTTTTATTTATATTTATAAGAAAGTTTTAACATGTATTGTGTAACCAATATGATAAATGCAAGCGTCATAACAAGCTAGAAGTTACAAAAATTAAATTTATTAAATCCAATAGAGGTAGCATGAAAGTAATTTATGTTATCACGGGAATAAATTCAATATAGAGATATTTTTGTAGTAATAAATGTTGGTAGTTATCTATACAACCTGTTATTTCATTATGAATAGTGAAGGAGATCTATGTGCATAGGTAAAACTTTTAATTGAATAAAAAAGGTTAGACTAGCAATCCTATAATTTTCTAAAAACATATTATAAAAATTAAAGATAACACCCCTAACATATAATAGTTGGTTTGTCCCTTAAGAAAATATATGTTTATTTCCTCAAGGTGAGTGATACAAAACTTCAAATCCAATTGATATCAAACCAATGATTTTGGTCAAAACTCATCTTGATATTCAAATAGAATATGAAAACTTAATTAGTTACAAGAAAAAAATTAAATGTGTTAATACCAATAGTTAATTAAAATAGGTGTAAGATAATTAATCTAAGTTACCCTGTAATTAGCCTAAATTGCATATTAATAAAATTTAATCGATTATTTTAACTATATCAAAATTTCCCAAAATGTATTTCTAAATATAACTATAACTTCAAATCCTAGATAAAATATAAATTATATTAATCTAATATTTTGATTGAACAATATATTTAATCACATTCTCAATGTAGATGAATTTGAAATGCATAGTTTTTGTGATTTAAGAAGGGGAAGAAAGTAAAGAATAGTAAAGAAGAGAAACCAATCAAGAAGTAGAAAATAAAGAAGAGAAATATATAAAGGGAGTGAGAGATGTTGCAAATCTAGACCCAAAACTTGTAATTTTGATAATAACAAACATTATTGGATTGTCTATATATCATCTCCTATTATTTGTATTATTGGATATTTTTTTCTTATGCACTAACATTTCAGGTATGCCGTATAAGACACAAAGTGATTAACTCAAGACTCGATAGAATAGGTATAAGGTTCTTTAAGAGTTTTTATTTTTACTTTTATTTAATTCTATTTTTTCTTGAGTCAAACTCTTATATTTGGTGGATGCTCACTTGGTGGATACTAAACTTTGTGACTGTGCATGCACACACGGGGAGTGAGAAAATTAGAAGTGTAATTTGTTTTTTAAACTAATCGTACTATATAATCCATATCTTACATAACAATTTGTTATTCAAAAAATAATTATAAAGACTAAACGGAATAAATATTATTTTTGTACTAATCATACTCTATAATACAAATCATACAAATAATTAGTAGAAATCAAGATCTCAACTACAAATTATATTTTATGTAATATTTTAAAATTTCTACTAATCATATCGTACGATACCCATCTCACTGTATGATATAATCAAATCTTGCATAATCGAATCCTTTAATTAGTGTATTAAATTTGGAATAAAGTTTTAGTCAGGTTATACTGTATGATTTGACCAATCTTACTGTACAAACTGATCACTGCATGTGATGATAATTAATCACCACCATTCATATGGTATTATAATATCTTTTAATTGAATTATTTACATTAGATGATGCCTTATATCGTACTGGACGATCAACTCAAGTACTTGAACTGATCATACAAACTCTTAT